ACCTTAGAGCAAAGTTGTGAAAAGGAATCGATTTCCTTTGCAGAGGAAAGGGGTCTTTAGGTGTGGAATGTTGAATATATGGTGTTAGACTTGGTTGCTTTTACTCCCTTCCCCATTCTTCCCTTTTTATTTTGTTACAAGGGTTGCTAAGTTAGGGCAGAGGAAAGGAATATATTTTTGGTAATGAAGGGGACATTTAAAAACAGATAACAACAATGAGAAACAACCAAAAAAAAAAAAAGCAAACAAACAACAAACCAAACACCTATTTACTAGGAAATAGTGAGGAAAGATGCTCCACACAGACTGGGACTTGCTCTCCCAGAGAGAAGCCTGTACATCCACATTCAACTTCTGCTAGGTAGCAGTGCCAAATGAAATCAAACACAGGAATTTGGAGACCGGGAGGTGGGGAAGTTGCTGTGATAAGGGAAAAGAAGGGTCGCAGGGAGCAGGGACTTACAGAAGCTTATCTATCCCTTCCCTGTACAGAGAGCTACTTCAGTTGCAGGGTTCTGGATTTCCCAGCAGACCTGGTTTTTGCCTTTTGGGAAAGCTCCACTGACCCTTAGGATAAGCCTTTTCTTTCCTCAGTGACTTTAGTGCTTGACTCACCACCTTTCCTCATTCTCTCTCAAACCCCCCCCCCCATCAGATTTGTTGCCAAGGCCTGTTGTTTTCACCCCTGCACCATCTCTACACCACCCCCTTCTCTCTGACACTGCCACCTCTAGTACAGGCCCTCATCACCTCACACCTGGACTATTTCAATAGCCTGCTGGTAGGTCTGCCTGCTTCAAGACTCCAATCCAGTCCATTCTCCATTTGGCCACTTAAGTGATTTTCCTAAAGTGCATTGCCTCCAGCATCAAATACAAAATGCTCTGGCATTTAAAGCCCTTTATAACCTAGCCCCTTCTTATCTTTCCAGTCTTCTTATATCTTACTCCCCATGTGTATTCTTCAGTCCAGTAACACTGGCTGCTCGGCTATTCCACAAACAGGACATTCCATCTCCTAGCTACAGGCATTTTCTCTGGCTGTCCTCCATGCCTAGAACATTCTCCCTCCTCCTATCTGACTAACAACTTTCCTGGCTTTTTAAGTCCCACCTCAAACCCCATTTTTTATAGGAAGCCTTTCCCAACCTCCTTTAATTCTAGTGCCTTCCCTCTGTTAATTATTTTCTATTTTTCCAGTATCTAGCTTGCTTTGCGTACACACACACACACACACACACACACACACACACACACACACACACACGCTGTCTACTCCATTTGTTAGCTAATTGAGGGCAGGGATTATCTTTTGCCTCAGCATTTAGCACAGTACCTGGCACGTTGACAATTAATAAATGTTTATTGATTGATTAAAATCTGGAGGAGTAGAATAGGTTCCAGAGGAATGCAGAGGCCTAAGGGAAAGCAAGATGGGAGTGGTATTAGATGTTTTGTTAGCCTAAGTTCTTACATAGAATTGTAGGGCCATTAGATACTGGTAAAGTTCTGTTCCTAGTAGAAATCCTGAGGTGAGGCATGAACCAAAAAACAATTAATTATTGAGAAGCCTCCAAGATTGAACCTAGTCCCTCTGAGCTCAGAGCTTTGTTAATAAGCCATAGGTTGTGCTTATTTTTAAGAGTATTTTATAAACAAAGGGGTTTCTTCCCTAATATTACCAAGGTATGTTAAAAAAAAAACTTATTAAAAATTGAGAGCTAGCATAGTATGGTGGACCAATTATTGGCCCTGGGGTTAGGAAGACAAGGGTTAAAGTACTTTTCGGACACAGCTATGTGACTGTGGGCCAATCCTTTAACCCCTCAGTGCCCAGGTATGATTTTAAATTACAATCTTAACCTACATTGGTGGAGTTTGCACACTAGGATGTTTATAGTAATACTTTTTGTGGTGGCAAAAAATTGAAAACTAAGAGGGGTGCCCATCAGTTGAGGAATGGCTGAACAGATTGTGTTATATAAATACAATAGAATACTATTGTGCTGTAATAAATGATGAAAAAGAACATTTCAAAGAGACATAGAAAGACCTAAATGAACTGATAAAGAGGGAAGTAAGCAAAATCAGAGCAGTTTATACTTGAACATTGGTATTGTAAAAACTAACAATTCTGAAAGACTTAAGAACTTTGATCAAGTAAATGATCAGTCATGATTCCAGATTGATAAAGAATTTTGTCTACCCACTGGCGTGTTTCCCCCCCCCCCCAAGTGAATGGGGGAGGTAAAGGGGAGAAAAAAGTGAATGCTTGATAATGGGGGGAGGGCTTAAATAAAGAAATATTGGGTCTAGTACAAACAATGGATGTGGGTATGCATACATTGACCATAATCCCATATTCACAGAGTCAGAAGCAACGCTAAAGTCATCTAGTTGAAACTTCTCATTGTAGAAATGAGAAAACTGAGGCTCCCAGAGGTGACACCTATTATCATCACATAGGCAGTAACAGAGCTGTGATTTCAACCTAAATCCTCTGACTTAAAATCCTGTCCTTCTCCCATTGTTCCACACTGCCTTTTAAAATGTGTGCAGTCATTAACTTCTAGAGTATCACTGAATTACAAAGATTACAATGCCCCCAAAATTACTATAAGAAATTGAATTTTGAACTTGCTTTTTACGGATAAACAGATAGTACAATTTAAACTGAGTACTTTAGATTGGCTGTTGTGTAATTCTCATGTAATTTATGATGGGTCACTTTGATAATACTACTAATATTTAGGTACATAAAAAACTAATAAAATTGTTTTACACACTTGTATGTGTAAAGCATTAGCTATTGACCCTGTGGTAGATCTTGACTAGCATCTGGCTTCTCTGATTGAGGATCAGAGCCTGATTTGATGACCCTGATTGATGATCCTAGACACTTGTGATTTTCTGACAACAATCTGCCTTTATTTCTGACTGCACTTCCCACTCTAAGTAGGTTACACGACCTGTTTCTATGTACAGACCATGGGCTGGCCATCTCCAGGAAGTCTGTTCATCAATTTCTCTGCAGCAAGAAAGCCATGAGACTTTGGTGGCTAACTGCTTTTTAAATTCAAATTCACAAACATCTACTAAATGCCTTCTGTGTGTAATATAAAAACTAAATAAAAAAACCCAATACCCCAATTAACAAAGCAGTCCTTCCTCTCTAGAACAGGGGTGGGGAACCTGGGGTTTCCAGGCCAGACCAAATCCACTTAGTAAAAGGATCTGTTCTGTAAAACTTGGACTCAGTCAAAAGGCCACACCCAAGGACGTAGAAGGCCACACATGACCTCGAGGTGATATGTTCCCTGCCCCTGCTCTAGAAGCTCATATTAGGAGGATACAACATGCATACTGATGAGTTAATGTTAGGGAGTTGAAGAGACTCTTACATAATGAAAATATCCTTAACAATCCTAAAAAATAAAAGATTTACATTTTTTTTTCTTGAAAGAGAATGACAGATTAACAATTCATCCTTGTCTTTTGGGCCAGAAGGGCTTACCTCGACCTGAAGCCAAACATATTTCCAAGTTGGGGGCAGGAGGGGGTGGAGCCCAAGAAAAGGAAGGAGAAACACTAGTAGTCACTCTCCTGTCTGGCAGAAGAATTGCCCATCAATGTACTTATGCCCACCGAAAAGTTGAAGTAGCCACAATGTTACCTACCACTTCATCTTCCAGAAGACGAGAGAAGCCCTGCTTGCCTCTTAGCTGGAGGCTGCTGCTCTTTTGGTCAACAAGAAGGAGATGCAGCAAGGTTCCGAGGGAGACCCTTGAATTGAAGTCCCATCTATGACTGCTCACCCAGTTGGATCACTTGTTTCTAGTCATTTATTTTCTTGCTGGGATGCAAGCATCTCAGCTCCTTCCCTGAGAGCAAAACAATATTTTATCTGTTTCCTTCTAAGTTCTGCTAGGTTAGTGGATATGGTGTTCCTTTTCCAAAGAAAGAGTCATTTTAGAATCAAGGGGCTCCAAGCATCTGCTCGATCAAAAGGGGGTGGTTTCCCTTTTCCAGAGGAGTCAATTTAGAATCATAGAAACTGGCTGTTCATAATAGCTACCTTATCAGTCCGTGACCTATTGGGACCACTCCTCTACTAACTCAAGCCAAGTGAGGAAGGCACAGTTTATTCTATAGACTTTCCTCAATTCAAACAACTAGAACTTATTTGTTGTTAATTGTTATGTTCCTGAGGGTGGTAAAACTGAAGAAAGCTGCTAACAATTGTCTTGGTATTGATGGGTTGATGATAGTTGTCATGCCTGTCTTGTCAGGACAGGTAGAGAAACTCCTAACGTACTAGCAGGCAGACCAGGCACCAGGCTCTTTTTAATATTTGGGGCAGGAATACACACCACTAAGCTTCACTGACGGAGGTGGCACCTGAGTTGAGTCCTAGGGCAAGCAAGGAAGGAATACATTGAAGGCATAGGGGTGGGAGAGGATATGTTGAATTTGGAAACAGCTACTAATTCTTTAGTTCTTTTTTAAATGGAGCATAGTGTCTTTGAGAGAACGTAATGTGAAATACAGCCAGAAAGGTGGTCTGGAACCAGATTGTGGAATGATTTAATAGTAGACCTTCTGCTCTATCTTGAATTCTGACTTTTGTGTGCTTTTTGGGTCCATGCCATTCCCTTGATATATTATTTTGAACTCATATCTAGCCTTTTATTTTTTTTAACTTCTTTTTAACTTTTGATCCCAGCTCTTCAATCCACATCCACCTACAAATTGGCAGTTTGTCTCTGTCCTTACTGCTTCTGTTCCTCTCCCTAATCTACCCAACCAGAAATTCCCTACCCTTCCAATTTTCTTAATGATATTAATCTAGGTGACTGAGGAAAATTCTGTCATAAGTAAAACCCACAAATTTAAGTAGCAAAAATACAGTATCGGGTGAAAGAAATTGTCTCCCTTCCGTCCCCCAAATCTATAAAATAGCTGCATATTTTATTTTTTAACGTGATTTCTTTTTTTAAACAGGAAGAAGAGAATTCATCCAAAGATTAAAACTTGAAGCAACACTGAATGTGCATGATGGCTGTGTAAGTGTTAACTTGTTATATCTAAAAGATTCAAATTTAATTTTTGGAAAGTAGGATAAAATGCTTTCATTTCTTAAAGATGAGCCACATAGTTAATTTAAACATATAGTAGAAGAAGAGAGGAACAGGACACAAAGCTATTTGAGTTATAATATAAATTTAGACTCTTCAGGTCTTTATGAAATGTAGGGGAAATTTACGAGAGTTGCTTTTAAATGTCTGTATCTTTAAAATGCACTGAAGCCATAAAGGAGATATGTAATGGAAACCAGGACTTTGGTGGAGCAGCAGGGAACTATCCCCTTGTACATAGAGAATGGATGATGCCCAGAATGGCACAGAATAGAAGAAAAAGGATAATGGCAAAGATAGTATCTTCTAAGATAAAAGCCAGGAGCAGATGTTGACTCGATAAAAAGTAGTCATCATACAGAAACCAAAAGGGGGGCCCTAGAGATCTAACTGAGAGAACCTTCTTCCCCTGGAGATAAAGATGGTTGTAAAAATGGTGACTCTGTCTGGGATTAAAAGAATGGATAATGACAACTCACATTTATATAGTACTTTTAGGGTTGCAAAACACTTAATATACATTATTTCATTTGATCTTTACGACATCTTTGTGAGGTTGGTGTTATCCCCATTTACAGATAAGGAAATAGAGGCTTAGATTAAGTGATTTGTGATTGATCATACAGCTAGATAATGTTACAGGGAGGATTTGAACCCAGATTTCCTCTGACTCTTAAATCCAGGACTCTTTCTGCTACACCAGTAAATAGACTAGAGGCATTTGGTTCATTATTTGTGAACCTAAAACGTGAGCATATGTTAAAATAGTAGACAAGGGGCAGGGGTAGGAGGCACTCGGATGCTATGGGGGGGTTTGAGGAGCCAGAGTCAGAGTCTCACCAGAGATCCTAGAAGTGGGAGGGTCCTTTGGGTCATCTGGTCCAACCTCCTCATTTTATAGGTGATGGAATATGCTTGGAGGAGTTAAGTGACTTGCCTAAGGTCACAATGGTAATAGTAGGAGAACTGGATTCCAGTGGAGGTCTTCTGACTCACCATTGGTAGACTGATGGTTGCTTTGGGTCCCTGGACACATTAAGTTTATGTTTAAGATATGTACTCTCAGCGAGTCTGGGTTTGTGGCCCCTGGCAGATCACTTAATCTCTCTGCATCTCTTTTAAGTATTCTTATCTGTTAAATGGAATTAATAATACTTGCAGACCTCCTTTACAGGGTTATTGTGAGGAAATTATTTAAGTACTATATGTTATTTTGATATATAATGAAATATACGCTTGGATATTAGGAAGTTAATGTTACATCCTTGACATTCCATCATCTAAACTTCTCCTTGGAATTAAAGTACAGACATGTTCCATTGAAAATCACCATGCTATAATGACATAAGTTGTAACCAAACCCACTGTAAGGGTCACACCAGTATCCCCCTACACACACACACACACACACACACACACACACACACACACACACGAACACACGCACGCATGCGCTCCAGTGCACAGCTCAGCCCTGTCACCCACTTCATCTTTGTGTTTTTCACTCCTTAGTCCTTCACCTAAAGGAAGGTACTCCTTCCTTCAGTCCTGGGGAAAGGTCCCCTGCTTCTTGCTCCTCAGGTGGCTACTCTTTCTACTCCTGCAGATAGCTCCTTGGCTAGAATAAGCCCTTCGTCTTTCTGCTGTACTGCCTTATCATCACACAAGTTGCCATTCTGCAGATTACTGGGAAAAGCCAGTATTGTAGGGTTGTTAAAAATCTCAAAGAGATGTGGAATGCTTACATAAAGAGTCCGGCAAGTGACAGCAAGGCTGTCACCTTTAGCCTTTTTGAAGCAGCCCTATTTACAGCTGAGGTATTGGGTTAACATGCCACTTAGCTGCTTAGAGAACAAAGGAAAAGAAACAAATATATCCATATTAAAACTTTTCAGCAGAGGTCATCAATTTACATTCTGGATCCCTGGGCTTAGCTTATCTTCTTGAAAATTCAGAGTTATTGTCTCATTGATTTCTAGTCTTTTGAAGAAGGTAGAGAAGATTTGGTTCCTGAAATCCCCAGCCCCACTTCTAATTAATTGTCCTTGCCCTTCTACTTGTTGCACTAGGGCTCAGCACTTTTCCATCGGTCTTGGAAGATGGATTGTACATTCTCTAGATGTGTACAATAATTGAGAAACAATGTCCAGACTTAACCAAGGCATCTTTCTGCCCTGACCCCATCTTGGACTGGAGAAGCAGTCGGGGTTAAGTGACTTGCCCAGGGTCACATAGCTAGTAAGTGTCAAGTGTCTGAGGTCAGATTTGAACTCAGGTCCTCCTGAATCCAAGACTGGAGCTCTATCCACTGCACCACCTTGCTGCCCTGAGGTTGGCATTCTTAAAGAAGAAAAAGTTAGCTGTGCTTTCTCTTCTTCTGGCATTATCACTTTTTCTTTTACCCAAACTGTGATTTCTTTACTCATGGTATCATAGGATCCTATGAGCTGTACAAAAGATAATAGAGGCCATTAAGTCTGAACTCTTTATGAGGAATTTGAGGAACATAGCAGTTAGGTGATTTGTCTGGTGTCACACAACTAATGTTTTAGGTGAGATTTAAACTCAGGTGTTCTTTACTCCAAGTCCAATGCTGTATCCAGTGGGCCATCCTGCCTGTAGGTAACTCCCGCTGGGGAAACGCTCTCTTCTGATATGGATTGGCAGCTATGGCTCTTCTCTGAGAATAGTGGTCTAACCAAGCAGCTTTTCAATCTTCATTCTCACTGGTGCATTTCTGGCTACTCTCCCATATCCAAATGTGGTAGCATCACTATTTTTGATGGTAAAAAAATATATATATATGATAAAGAATCTTTGCAGGGAACAAAATCATTGCCACTAGGATGAGAAGACAAACTGTTGATTGAGGGGAAAAATCTTTATAGCAAATGTTGCTGATAAGGGTCTGAAATTCAAGATATAGTGAAAACTAATACCAAAAGCTGAGATTAAAACCATTTCCCAATGGGTAAGTAGTCATGAACAAATATTTCTAAAAAGAAAACTTGCCATCTGTAACCATATGAAAGATTTCTCCAAATCATTAATAAGACAAATGCAAATCCCTCTTTTGATGTTTATTACTTCTTTGGCCTTGGGTAGATCGCTTAAGATCTGTGGACCTCAGTTTTATCTGTAAAAAAAATGAGGGGGTTGGATACTTGGAGATTGCTTTGGGCTCTGGATATATAAACTCTGTAGTTTCTTACACTCAGCAAATTGGCAGAGTTGGTGCACTAATACACCATTGGTGGAGCTGTGAATTTATTCAGCAGCTCTGGGGAACTGTTTGAAATTAGGATTGAAAAAAGGAACTGAAAAGTCCATGCCCTTTTGACCTAGAAATCATACTCTGAGATATATTATCCCAAGGAGATCAAAGACTCTTATCTCTTGAGGAGAAACTCAAATGTCAAAACATTCATAGTAGCACTTTTTTGTGATAGTAAAGAATTAGAAATAAAGTAGATACCCGTTGATTGGAGAATAGCTAAAAAAAGGTATTGTACATGAATGCAATGGAATATTACTTCTGTAAGAGGTGACAAATGTAAAGAATTGGAAGCCCAAGAAGATTCATGAATGGTTTCCAACCAAAATGAGCAGACCCAGGAAAATAACATATATAATGACTACAAGAGTGTTGGAAAAAACAATAAAAATGCAACTGAAGGCAGTGTATTTATAAAGATTATTCTGGCCTCAGAAGTTGGGACCTGTGGGTCAGGCTGTAGAACTCCTGCAAAACTCCCCAGTGCTGTCTGAACCAAATTAAAATGTGATTGGGTAGTGTTTAATGAAATAAAAGGATAACCTAACATAATGTTAATTTGTGGTTTTCTAAGTCAATATGTGGTCCACAGGGATTGTTTCTATTTAAGTTTGACACCATTGATCTACCAAGTTTTTGATCTTTGCTATCTTATTCCTAGTCCATGTTTTCTTAGTGTCTTGTTTCCACTTCTGAATTAAAAACACAAGAGTATCAAAATATATGCTGATTTAATTTGAAGGGTCTCACTAAGTTCTTGCTAAAATTTTTCTACCTCTTCATCCTCTGCCACAGATGTTGGGGTATAAGTTGCAATCATTTTCCTGGTTCTCTTTTTGCAAATACTTAATTGTACCTACTTTAATACTTAGGTGACTATACCTTGAAACAATGATTCTTGTTCACATTGGGTACATGATAAAACCAAACTCCATCTACTCATTTTTCCCTCTATAAGATCATGTGGGTCTTATATTTTCCTGCAACTTCCTTCTCTTTTCTTTTATAGAAAGAATATCAAGAGTGATAAGATTTAAAAAAAAAAAAGTGATAAGATTCAGTTCCTTCAGTAGCATCCCCACCTTGAAAAGGTCATTAAAGTTCATAGATGATCTAAGAACTGTGTGATTCTTAGCTTCCTGTATGTCACTTTCTGCCACGAGCCCACTGTCAGTACAGAAGTGGAAGGTCGACATATAGGACTAAGGGCCTTTTTGTATTTTTGTTTGTTTCATAGGTTGCCATGGCCAAATAGTTTATTACCACATGGCTAACCAATCTGTCTATACTTAGTCTGGTCCTTGGAAACTATTGTAAGGATCATAATCAAATCATTTTTAACATGGTAAAACCTTCCACAACTTGACAAGAACAAGGGTCACCTCCATGCCATGATGAAAGAATCAGGGATTTACATAGTAGGAGTGGAGATGAGAGTGGGGGGCCTGGGATTAGAGAAGGAGAAAGTATCATTTCCAGGTCATAGGGGCAGGGGAGTTGGTAGAGGATGGAGGATCAGCATCAGATGGAGAAAATTTGGGAGTTAGAAGGAGAGAGGATTCAGGGTCTGGGGTCACAGGGGAAGAGAAAGTAGAATCTATCTAGTTTTAGGGGGAAAAGTAAATATGAGGGTTCAGGGCAGAGAAGGAAGGGGATAGGTAGATGTTCAGAGAAAGAGAAAAGTGTATAAGGGCCAGAGCCAGAAGGATGTGGGTTGGGTATTGACAGGATAGTTATAGAAATTGGTCCCAGGGTCCTTCCAGGCTAGGAAGAACTTATGAGGGAGAAAAGAATTATTTGTCAGAATTTGTTGAGTGGGATAGATGCAGTACAGTGTAGGGTAGTATCCTGCTCTCTAGCCTCTAGCAAGTGCTCACAGTCCCACTCCTAGTGTGTGTTTTCCATTGTGTGTCTGGGATGACCCTCAGCTCCCTTACCAGAACTCTCATCTCTTCACAAAGAGCATGCTTCTGGAGAATATTCATCAGCTTCTCCTGTCTAAACCTCTCACGCAGGATGCAGGTCAGCTCCCTTAGCTGGCACCTGATTTCCAAGGAGTCAGTAACTGAGGCCATGGATTGGAAGGACCAGGGAACACAGAGAAGGTTCTGGGCGGGGAGGAAAGGAGAGAAGGGGAAAAAGTATGGGGCACTTTATTCCCATTCAGTTTCATTTTATTAGATTTGACCCAGCATTCTGACTGATTATAATTGGGTGAAATTTAGTATGTCTTTCTGGAAATACTGAAGTCTCTTGAGGAAAGGAACCGGGAACATTTGAGCCTGTGTAAGCAGGATGGCTGTATGCAAGTGTTTACAAGGGCAGTCACATGGCAGGAGGATTGAACTTGTTTCTCCTGTCTCCCACAGTGAAGAACTCTAGTTGCAGAGTCAGACTTAGATTTGATTCAGGGGAAAGTTTCCTAACGATTAGAGCTTCTCAGAAGTGGAATGACCTGCTTGAGGCCTTCAAGCAGGAGTCTAGAGTTCCATTTGTAGGACAACATTTTTGATCAGATTGAGTTAGACCAGAGACCTCTGAGGCTTCTGAGAAACTCTTGGTTTCTGTGAAATATTAATTTCTTAATTCTAGTTTTTTCCCCTTCCTTTCTCTTTTCAATAATGTTAGGACCAGTGGTTCATAGGATTTATTTGTAGCATTTCAAATCTGAAATCTGTAAAACAAATCATTTTTCATATAGAAAAACATCTTTACAGCATGATGGGGAGAGATTTCTGAATATATTGTTTAAACTTCTTATTGAATTTTAATTTTATTATATGTAAAATTTCAAAATTATAAAGTAATGATTAGCTGACTTTTTTCTCTTAATGTCACTTTGTTTTTAAAACAATTCTGTTTGCTATTATAGGTGAATACAATCTGTTGGAATGACACTGGAGAATATATTTTATCTGGTTCAGATGACACTAATCTAGTAATCAGTAATCCCTACAGCCGAAAAGTAAGTATTTTTCTAAAAATCATACAAATTTATGGGGAATAGTCAACCAAGAAAAGCAATCAGTAAATATGATGTAGTATCCTTTTTCCATGTGTACTGTTGTATCAGAGTACATATTTCACTTACTTTCTTCTTAGTCCTCTTTACAACTGAGGTTATATACTTGAAAGTTTCCCTTTTTAGGTTTCCAGTTAAATTTTTCAGGTCTCTCTCTCACCTTTTTTCCATACATGAGCAAAGATGATTATATAGACATGTTTGATTCATTTCCTTCTCACATGTAAGTCCTTTTCCTTGGCCATGGCATTATGGGTGATGAGCAGTCATCTTGATGCGTTTTTACCTTATTGCAGACAAGCAGACAAGGGCCCTGGAAATGATGTGGCTACCCAAGACTGCATACTCTTCAGTGTCCTCTGAGCTTTGCCATCTTCATGGTCTCAGTTAATTTGTGCTACCTCACCTGCATCATTCTTTTCTTAAGTTTTGTGGCATTACTGCCGGATCCTTTGTTCTGAGCATAACTGTCTGTTTTGCTCTGTTTCACTCCAAACGTCTTCTTGCCCTCTGAGTTCCAACTTTTCAGGTCTGACCTCACTTTCTTAATTCACATTCTCTTTGAAAATACTGCTGGGTAGTTGTCAGAACCTCTTGATTATTTGACTTTAAAAGAGGATTGTTTTCCTTCACACATTCCATGTGATAATTAAATAATATTGTTAGCATTTCTTCTATTCTCTTTTCCTCATTGGGCAATAGAGTTTTTTAACCATCATTTTAATAGTTTTTCTTTGTTCATAGAAAGAAGCTCTGATCCAACTGTAAGCTAGTCATTTTGCTATGCAGGTGTTTCTTAACATCAGCTTTTGAAATATTGCTGTTCCAAAGGCGTCTCTTCAGCCTGAATTTCCTCAAATTTTGAAATCATGAGTCCATTATTATAAAATAATTAGTGATTATATCTGTCAACTTTCAGCTTCCATTAATTTATTGTAATGTTCTCTGTATGTGATACTTAACCATAACTAAGAACCTAGAATTAGAATTCCAAGGTGGATATCCCCAGTCACCTTCCTTTCTGAGTCATCCAGGTTTCTAACTTCAGATTTATCCTTTATTGTTCTCTTTCTCCTGGCCCCATATACATCATTCAGCTGCCAAGTCTTGTCAAGTCTGTTTCCACAATATCCTTTGTATCCATCCTTTCCTCTCTACTCTTATTTGTAGCATTTTAGATTTGAAATCCACAAAAACAAGCCCATTTTTAATTTTAAAAAATCTTTGTACCATGGTGGTAGGAGAATTGTGAGTAAATTGTTTAAACTTCTAATTGAATTATAATTTTATCATAAATGTTAATTCAGAGCTAGGAAGCTCCCCCCTCATCAAGGCCTTCAAAATCTCTTGTGAAGACTGTTTTCACAGCTTCCTGATTGGTGTCCTTGCCTCTGAGCTTTTCCTTTTTATCTCCACCACTGCCCAAACCTGACCTTTCTAGGCACAGATCTGACCAAGTTATTGCTCTGCTCCAATACTTGCTATGATTCCCTCATTGTCTCTAGCATAAAATACAGACTCAGCTTGACATGAGCCTACTTGTCCAGCTTTCTTTCCCCTTACTCTCGTCTATGAGATCTGCATTCTGGCCAAACTGAGGTGCTGACTGGTCCTTACACTTAGACTCTTCATGCCCCACCTCTGTCCATGAGCCATCTCCCGCACTTCAAATACTTAGGCCCCTCAGCTCTGTCTGTGAATTTTAATTTTCTTCCAAACTGCACCTCAGCTGCCACCTCTTCTGGTAAGACTTTCCTAGTTGTTAGTGCACACTAATTTCTGAAATTATATTGTACATATGGCTTCCCCGGGGGAGCATGTAGGAAAGGAATCTTCATTATTTCATTTCCTCCCTGCCGTCTTCCTCCTTAACTGTTTAGAATCTGGTTTTCATTGCTGTCTTCCTGGAATATCTCTATCTCCAATGTTAATTACAGAAGCCAAAAGCCTTGTTTCACTCTTTATCCAGTTTTACCTTTCATCTGCATTTGATACTGTTAACTGCTCTAGCAGTTAGTAAATCTAATTAGTAATTAGTAAGTCTAATGTCTTACTCTTCTCTTCCTTAACTTCTGTGGCACTGCTTTCTCCTGGTTCTCCTCCCTGTTGGAGTCTCTGTTCTAGGTCTCTTTCACTGACTTATCTTCCTTCCCCTCTGACTCCTAATGATGTGTGCTGTCCAAGGCTCTGTCTTTAGCGCCTTCTTTTTTTTAAATTTTTTAAAAATTTTCTTTTTTTTTTTTTTCTGGCTAGGCAATGGGGTTAAGTGACCTGCCCAGGGTCACACAGCTAGTAAGTGTTATATGTCTGAGACCGGATTTGAACTCAGGTCTTCCTGAATCCAGGGCCAGTGCTCTATCCACTGCACCACCTAGCTGCCCCCTTTAGCAGCCTTCTTATCTTTAGATATCTTCTCCTTTGGTGAGTTTACCCATCCTTATGATTTAAATTCTCATCCACTTGGTTCTTCCTGTACAGGTTTTTAGGCTGGTCTCTTTTGAGTAGTTCTTCATGGATCTTGTTATGAAGACCCTGTAATGTTCTGAGGTTTGATTAAATCAGCACACAGTGTCATCCATTCTCCGTCACAAATCTTCAGTGATTCGTTAGTGGCTCTAGGATGAAATCTAGATTCCTGAGTCCGCCATCTAAAATTCTTCACAGTCTGCTTCCAGCCCACCTTTAGACTTAGTTCACATTCTTCCCCTTGACACATTTTACCTTTCATCCAAGCTGACCTACTTGCTGTTTCCCAAATTTGTTCTTCCACCCCTTGCCTCCATATTTTGTGGAAGTTGTCCATTACCCCTTAGATGCCTTCTCTCCTCCCTTCTAACTATTAGAATCCTTGGGGCCTTTTAAGGCTTAGCTGATATGTTACCTCCTACAAGAAGTCTTTCCTGTTCCCCTAGTTCTCAGGCTTTCTCCTTTCTCGTATTATGTCACAGTTGTTTTTCTCTTTAGATGTCGTACTCTCCAGGGCAGTGTAAGTTCTTTTAAGCAAGGACTGTTAAGTGTTTGTTTTTGTGTCTCCTGGGCCTGTCATGGGACCTTACACAGAGTAGGTGCTTAATAAATGTTTGCTGAATTAAATCAAATTGAATTATCATCTCTAGAGGATCCCTCTACTATTTGAACTCCATAGGAGATATCCTCCATGACAGTGATGAACACTTGAGTGAATATATATCTTTAAATTTTTTTTAATATATTTAGTATTTTGTTTTTCCCCAGTTACACGTAAAAACACTTTTTAACTTTCGTTTTTAAAACTTTGAGTTCCAAATTCTCTCCCTTCTTCCTTCCCCACCCCCCTTCATTGAAAAGGCAAGCAATTCGATACAGGTTATACATGTGTAGTCATGCAAAACATATCCATAATAGTCATATTGTGAAAGAAAACATGGACAGAAAAACTAAAGAAAATAAAGAAAGTTAAAAAAAAGTATGCTTCAATTTGTTTTCAGACACCATCAGTTCTTTCTCTGGGGATGGATAACAGTTTTCATCACAAGTCTTTCAGAGTTGTCTTGGATCATTGTCTTACTGAGAATAGCTAAGTCATTCACAGCTGATCATCTTACAATACTGCTATTACTTTGTACACAGTACATTTCACTTTGCATCAGCCCATGTAAGTTTTTCCAGGTTTTTCTGAGAGAATCCTGCTTATAATTTCTTATAGTATTCCATTATGATCACATATCACAACTTGTTCAGCCATTCCCCAATTGATGGACATCCCCTTAATTTCTAATTCTTTGCCCCCAGAAAAGAGCTGTTGTAAATATTTTTGTTCATGTAGGTCCTTTTCCTTTTTTTTTTTCTTAATCTCTTTTAGCATACAGACCTAGTAGTGGTATCTTGAAGTAGCTAGGTGGTGCAGTGGATGGAGCTCTGGAAAGGAGTCAGGAAGACCTGAGTTCAAGTTTGGCCTCAGATAACTTCCTAGTTGTGTGACACTGGGCAAGTCTGCCTCAGTTTCCTCAGCAGTAAGATGGGGATCATAATAGCATCTGCCTCCTAGGGTTGTTGAAAGGATCAAGTGAGGTAATACTTGTAAAGCACTGAGCACAGGGCCTGGCACAGAGTAGCATTTCATAAGTCCTAACTTCTTTTTAGCGTGTCCAAAACAGAGCTCATTATCTTTGCTCCCAAACCCTCTTCCCAGCTTTCCTATTTCTCTGTATGGCACCCAGGATCACAGCCTTGGTGTAACCTTGAGCTTTCCTTGCACTCACCTCATGTGTCCTATCGGCTGTCTGCTCTTGTTGATTTTACATTCACAGCCCCTTCATCTCTCTCCCCTTCTCTTTACTCATATAGCCACCATCCTTGTACAGGCCCTTCCTCATCGCTTTTCATCTCTCACCCATTGCAGTAGCCATCTGGCTTCTCTCCCCGTCTTGAGTCTCTTCCCACTCCAGAGTCAACTTCTTGAATCATAGGTCTGACCCATGTTATCCCTTATTCAGTAAACCATAGTCTTTCTTTGTTCCTTGAGAATCAAACAAAAAATTATCCCGCATTTAATGCCTGTGCAGCCTAGCCCATTTTTGCCTTTCCAAGTCTTCTTACATTTTACTCCCCTTCACCCCCTTTGCCTACCGTCCCACTCTACTGGCCTGTTCTTGTTTTTCACACACACTGCTCCATCTCCCTTCTTGTACATTGGCCCCAATTGTCCCTCATACCTGGAATGCTCTCCCTTCTCACACCTCTGATTCGGCGTGTCCCTGGCTTCCTTTAAGACTCAGCTCAAATCTGACCTTGTCAGGAGTCCCCCACTGTGCAAATCTTTTTCCTCTAAGATTTGTTTCTTTTTATTCTGTATGCATCTTGTATGCACGTAGCGATTCTCAGGTGGTCTTTCCCTTTAGAATATGGGCTCCTGAAAAGTCAGGACTATGTTTCTGCCTTTCTTTCTCCACATCCCTTAACAC